CAGCCATGTCCAAGATGCTGAAGATAGGCGGGGTGTGGGTGTCCTTTCCGCACAACCCTTACGACTTGCAGACAGCGTACATGAACTCTCTCATCCAAGCCTTGAACGAGGTGATTGTGTGTTGTGTGTTGTGGACGACTTTACATTGCACACAATGTGTGTTGCTTGGTCAATGTTGTCGCGGAACGTCGATGCAGTGCTTGGCTTGTTCACACCAAGATACGCATGTCAACACGCGCACGCACACGCACACATACATCTCCACACGTACTCACATCACACACACATGTGCTCACACTCATGTTCTTGCACATGCTATTGAAGGGGAAGAATGCGATGCTGGAAAGCCCAACGGGTACGGGCAAGACGCTGTGCTTACTGTGCGCCAGCCTTGCGTGGCAAGAGCAATTTACAAAGGCCCTCACAGCACAGGCGGAGGAGGATGCAGCCAAGGCCAAGGCTAAAGCAATGGCAGCGGGACTGGGTGGAGGCCAAGGACCGCATCAAGGTTGGCAAGCGAGTGGCACTGGATATGAGCAGCAGCACCAACAACACCAGCCAGGCAATCCCGCACAAGGGTTTACCCCGCAGAAGCCCAAAGCACCCCGAATCATCTACGCCACGCGAACGCATTCGCAGATTGCGCAGACCATTGCCGAGCTGAAGCGCACATCGTACAAGCCAAATATCTGCGTTCTTGGCTCCCGCGAGCAACTGTGCATCAACCCCGAGGTCTCCCGCCTCGACACAAACGCCGCGAAGACAAGAACGTGCCGCCACAAAGTCGCCAGCCAGTGAGTGTGTGTGTGTGTGTGTGATTGGTGTGTGTGTGTGATTGGTGTGTGTGTGTGTGTGTCTATGTGTGTGTGTCTTTGTGTGTGTCTGTGTCTGTGTGATTGGTGTGCGTGTGTGTGTGTGTGTGTGTCTGTGTGATTTTCGTGTGTACGTGCGCGTGTTTGGTTGTGGAGGAGTTCCTTTCTCTTGCGCACCACGGCTTTGCCAATGTTTGGCCCCTAACCTCAACACACACACCTCGGTGCACTTGTGCTTTGCGTGTGTACCCTGTGGTCTGGTCTGTTCTGTTTGTTTCAGGGAGTGTTCGTATTATTTCCAAGTGCCAAAAGGGAAGAAGGATCTTGCTGATCACGGCATCGCAGATATCGAGGTGCGCACGTGTGTGTGTGCGTGAGTGCGCCTGCACGCGTGTTCATGAGGACGTGTGTGTGTATGTTGTATTGTGTGTGATACTGTTGCGCGATCGTGGGTCCGCGGACCCTGCTGCTTGCTTGATTTGCTTCAATTGCTCAGCCCCTCGACACACACACACACACACACACACACACACACACGCCAGGATCTTGTGAAGATTGGGCGGAGCGCGTCGTGCTGTCCGTATTATCTGGCGCGGGACGGGCTGGAGAGTGCACAGCTCGTCTTTGTTCCGTACAACTACATCCTCAACTCTCGCACGCGGCGCAATCAGCGCATCGACGTCGAAACTTCAGTGGTGTGGTTGTGTGGTGTGTTTGTTTGAAAGAAGTGATGTGCACATGTTCACATACATGCTTGCTTTTTCACGTGTACATTTACACGCACACACACACACACACTCTCTCTCTTCCCCACCTCGCCACCCTCCCCACCACACACACACACACACACACACGCGCGCGCGCGCACACACACACACACACACACATTCAGGTGATCCTGGATGAGGCGCACAACATCGAATCCGTGTGCGAGGACGCGTCGAGTTTTGATCTCTCAACAACAGATCTCGCAGCCTTCAGTAACGAGCTTGCACGGGTCCGTTGTTGTTGTTGTTGTTGTTGTTGTTGTTGTTGTTGTTGTTGTTGTTGCTTGTACCTCTTGTATTGCCAGTGCTTTGAATCATATGGCAGTGTGTCACCGCTGTGAAGGGCCCATGTGTCCACACACACTCGCTCACACACCAACCCCACCTGCTGGTCCAGCTGAGCACGGCGGATGCGGAAGTGCTTGGAGAGCTGACGGCGGACGACGCGAAAGCGCTGCACAAACTCGTACTGCAGATTGAAGAGAAACTCGATGCACTCCCCGTCAAGATCGGAGGTGTGGTGATGATGATGATGATGATGATGATGATGATGATGATGATGATGATGATGATGATGATGATGATGATGATGATGGTCGTGGTGGTGGTCGTGGTGGTGGTCGTGGTCGTGGACGTGTGATGAATGTGTGAAGTCTTGCTCCTACCCGCTAGCACAACACAGCCACGCGCACCTCAACAACTCACTGCACCGTTCTTTTTCTGTGCATGCGCTTGCGTGTGTGTCGGACAGCACCCATGCAGCGGTCTGGAGACTTCATCTTCCGCTTCTTTGAAGGGCTGAACATGACGTTTGAGACCGTCCAGGTGATCCTGCCCAAGGTCGAGCAGGCAGCAGACGCCGTGGGAGCACTCAAAGTACGAACATACACAGAACAGAGGGGGTTGTTGGAGTGATTGGTGGCGTGCAGTTCCGGATACGAATACGCCTGTGCGCATGCACGTGCGTCGCACATGTGTCCACAGTTGCGTCACTCTCTCCTATCGCCTTCACAAACACGATCACCTCCACAGCTATCAACACAACCAGCGTCACCTCCATTAATACCACTACCGTCACGCTACAGAGTTCGCGCTGCCACCTGTCCAAGTTTGCGGACATCCTGCGATTGCTGTTTGGCGCGGAGACGAAGGACAACTTGGCCATGATCCGGCAGTACTATTACGTGAATGTGTCAGAGTCGAAGCGACAGCAGCAGCAGCAGCAGCAGAGCGGGTGGGCGGTTGCTGCGCCCGCCGGGAACCCGCGGACCATCAGCTTCTGGTGCTTTACGTCCTCGTTTGCAATGAAGGTGGGGTTGATACGGGAGGGGTGGATTGCGCATCGGAGCAGTATGTGTTTGTACGTGCGTGTGTACGTGTGTGTAAGTGCGTGTGTGTGTATATGTGTGCGTATGCATGTGTGTGCATGTGTGCATGTGTGTGCGTGTGCATGTGTGCATGTGTGCATGTGTGTGCGTGTGCATGCGTGCGTATGCATGTGTGTGCGTGTGCGTGTGCGTGGTGCCATGTGCTCACTCCATGCCACATCAACGACCTCCGTCAACACAGAGTCTGATCCAGGACGGGGTGCGGTCTGTTGTCCTGACGAGTGGAACCCTCTCCCCTCTCGACACATTTGCAGCGGAGCTCATGGTGTGCGCGTGTGTGTGTGTGTTTGCATGTGTGTGCGTGCGCGTGTGTGCGTGTGTGCACATTCTATTGTGAATGCACATCACTTCCGTGCTTCCCTTGGTTTCTCAACATCACGTGCGCGTGTGTGCAGGTTGACTTTCCAATTCGTCTCGAGAATCCGCACATCATCTCGAAGAAACAGGTGGGCAACAACATGTGCGCATACATTCGTGCGCGCATGTGTTCGTGTCCCCTACTGTTGCACTGTCCGCCTTCTTCTTCACACGCCGGCCACCACCACCACCACCACCATTACCAGGTGTGGGCCGGGGTGCTGACGTGCGGCCCGCGCGGACACGAACTCAACGCGTCGTACACAACACGCAGCTCCCCAGCGTACCAGGCAGACCTCGGGAACGCAATCGGTATCGGAGATGATGATGATGATGATGATGATGATGATGATAGGTGGTACATCATACGGCTTTGTGTATGCTCGAGCACATGAGCAAAGTGTGCTTTTGTGCACAACTACTGGTGTGTGTGCGTGTGTGTGTTTCTCATCCTCTGCCTCCTTGAACTGCGACATTGTGTTTCAATGTGCGTGTATTTGTATGTGTGTATGTGTGTTTTTTTTTGTGTGTGTGTGTGCGCAACAGTCAACTTTGCCCGCGTTGTTCCCAAAGGCCTTCTCGTCTTCTTTCCCTCATACGGTTTCATGCGCCAATGCATCGAGGTGAGCACGATGGGATGGATGGATGGCTGGCTGTTTGTGTTATTGGATGGCTGTTTGTTGTATTGGATGGTTGGATGCGGGTGCTGTCTTGTCGACGTGAATGCGTGCGTGTCATTTATGTGTGTGTGTGTTTGACTGACTGCGTGTTGCTGTATGTTTGACCCGACTGTTACCCACGCATCCCCACTTGCCCGTCTGTGCGCCGCACCATCACCGCCACTGCCACGAACACTGATATCACGGCCACCATTCATGTCGTTACTGTCACGATCATCATCGCCGTCGCCGTCAGGGGTGGCAGCAGAGCAGCGGTCGCTCAATATGGGATCAGATTGCAGAGTACAAAGTATGGCAGTCGCTCCTACACTGACACGTGTGTGTGTGTGTGTGTGTGTGTGTGTGTGTGTGTGTGTGTGTGTGTGTGTGTGTGTGTGTGTGTGTGTGTGTGTGTGTGTGAGTTGTGTTTTTTAGCTGACATTTGTGGCGTATCGCACGCACTTGTTGCTTGTGGCAAGATGATCATCACAAGCCAATCACGCCCGTTGTTGCTCACACCCATGCGCATCTGCGCCGACACCAGAAACCGGTGGTTGAACCACAGAACAAACACGAGTTCGTTGCTGCCATGGAGGTGTTTTATCAGCAGTTGAAGGAGCCGGACGCCGGTTCCGTTTTCTTCGCCGTCTGTCGCGGCAAGGTGCGCGAGAAACAGGACGAAGGCGGGAGGGGGGTCAAGGAGTTGTGTTGCGGTGATTGCGTGTGTGCGTGTGTGTGTGCGACTGCATGCACCGATGGGCGACATTGTCGTGGGACGACCGAATCCCTCTCTTTGTGATGGCTCATCTGGCCGCAATTGTACACCACCACACACACACACACACACACACACACACACACATACACACACCACGATACACACACACACACCACGATACACACCACGATACACTCCCCCACCCCAACCCCCTTCCCCTTCCCTTCCTCCCCCTACCCCAAATTCTTATGCACCAGGTGAGCGAGGGTCTCGACTTTGCGGACGAGAACGGGCGGGCAGTTATCATCACGGGTCTGCCGTATCCAGCAGCCATGGACCCACGCGTGCTGCTGAAGAAGAAGTTTCTGGATCGCATGAAGGCGCAGGGCACAATGCGCCTCTCGGGCCAGCACTGGTACTCCACGCAGGCAACGCGCGCCGTGAACCAGGCCATCGGACGCGTCATCCGGCACAGGAAGGACTACGGCGCCATTATTTTGGCAGACACGCGTTTTAAGCGCACGCGGAATCAGCTGCCGGCCTGGCTGCGCGCGCACGTGCAGGAGTTTAGGGATTTCGGAGAGGCGCAGCGAAGCGTCCGCACGTTCTTCAACAACGTGCCCGTGTTCCGCGATGAAGACCCGTCGACTTCTTCATCGGCATCAGCAGAGGGTGGCGTGATGGGCGGTGCGGCAGCGGCTGCAATGAGCGGAGCGGTGGGAAGTGATCTGTCAGCACCAACAGCGACAACAACAACAACGCGTGTGCGACTCAGGAAAAGCGCCATTCCTTCTCGTGGTGGGACAGCAGGAATTTGTGCGGGTGTGCGTGTGCATGTGCGTGTGCACGTGCGTGTGCATGTGCGTGTACCTGTGTGTTGATGTTGAAGAGGCTTTGGGTGTTTGTTGACTGCGCTTGTACACGTGTGTACGTGTGTGTATGGTTGTGGGCCTGCTTGTTGTTTGAGTGGCACGAACACATCCTAACAACACCACCATGCCGCGTTGTACATGTGCACTGCAGGTGTTGTTGCGTACGATCACAATGACGACGACGGCAGCGCATCGAAACTCCTTGGCGTGAAATCACTCAGCGCAAAGCACACCTCACTCACCTCGCTCACCTCCGCAAAGGTGTGCCCCTGATGTCTCTTGTCAGGTTGCATTATGTTGCCTGCGTTGATGTTGATTTGGTGGTGTTTGGATGAACATGGAATGCTTCCAAGTGCTGACGGTGATTGTCTTCGATGATTGTGCCTCTCTTACCACAACCACTGTCACCATCTTCCCCTCAACCACATCGACCACGACCACAGCCAAGCAATGTGAGCGTGGATGCACCGTACAAGGGATTGAATGCAACGGTGGGCACGCTCGGCGTTGCACGGCGGGGCGTCGATGCACGCAAACAAACTTCGTCGTCATCGTCATCATCAGCAACGCCGAAACCATCGTTAGCATCAATCGTTGAAGCGTCATCATCATCGTCATCATCGTCATCATTGTCATCATCATCAGCGTCGAGCGACAACACATCCAAGTGTGTGTGTGTGATGTATGCATGCACAGGGTGTTAATTCTTGTATTTGTGTGTGTCAGTGTTTGTTGTGTGCGCGAGCACGAGCGCTCACTTGTGCATGTGTCGTCTCAGGTCTCACGTGTCCTGATTGTCCTGTTCACCGCTTGCGTGTTCGACATCGTGGATGGTTTCGTTCAGGACCGATGTACACGTGCGCAAACGCGCAAAGAAGCGCGAGCTGTTCCAAAGTGCCCAGAAGTTCAAGAAAGTCGAAAACGCAACCGGGTAACTGAATCGACACGCATGCGGCGTTTTGTACGTGTGTGTGTACGTGTGTGTGTGTGTGAAGTAGCGAGCTTGCGTCTGCCCCCTTGATCTCTCCGGCATTGTGTGCACTGTTGCCTGCCATCGTCTCAACCCACGCACCTGCCTCCTCCCTACCTCACACACACACACACACACACACACACACACACACACACACACACACACACACACACACACACACACGTGCACGCACACACGTACACACGCACGCACGCACGCACACACACACACGCACGCACGCACGCACGCACACACGCACGCACACACCCTCTCTCTGTGCGGTGCCTCAGCGAGGATGCGCGGGAGTACTTGGCGAAATACGTCAAGCAAGTCAAGCGGGAGTGTTCGCATGACGTGTACGTGGCATTTGCTGTCGCAGTCAAAGCCTTTCAGAAGGTATGCATGGGTTTGCTTGGGGTTGTGGGGGTGGTGTGACATGCGAATCAATTTGTACACCGATGCGCAACGTCCTCCACTGCACTGTTTCACACACACACACACACACACACACACACACACACACACACACACACACACACACACACACACACACACACACACACACACACACACACACAAACATACACACCACCACCACGAACATTACCACACAGGAAGTGGCGCAGACGAAGAAGTTTTCAACGGCGCTGCCCGCCATCGCACGCGAACTGAAACGATTGTTTGTGGGCGAAACACAGTATCTCCTGTACAACTTTGATGCGTGTCTGCCGGCACCGCAGCGTGTCAAGTACAAGGAGCTATTGCGCAACATGCCGTCATGATGTGATGTGATGTCAATCGGTCCGTTCAGAGTGCACTGTAATGTAATGTAACAACATCATGTAATGTATTAAGTGTAATGGGCATGATCCCCCTCACAACGTAACACGAAAGGAGTCAACCAAATCAGCACGCATGTGCTTGCGTCGGTCGAAAAATAATAATCAAAAACAAACAGGGAATAATGGGCAATGGGTGTTCAGCGTGGGGCTGCCGGGGTATATAACATCACTTCACATGGGGTGCAGGTGCAAACAGGTTTCACAAAGCACTAACTCTCCCCTTCATCGTCGTCCTCCCAGCTGTCACTGTCGCTCAGATCGCTCCCACTGTTGTCGTCGCCTCCATTGTGCTCATCATCGCTCGGCATCACCCACCCGCAATCGTCTTCATCATCGCTGTCGTGTGCCGCATCAGGCGTCACCTCATCGTCCACCAGCCGCCGACACCTCTCAACCTCCCTGTCAGCGGCGTCGATCATGGTCTGCACCATCGTGCACCCGTTCTCGTGCCGCTCGTGTGACAGATGATCAAACTCTTGTTGAAGCATCTCCTCTATCTCATTGTACGACATGCCCTTGCAGCGCCTTCGCGCCAGTCGACGCTTCAGAACGCCCCAAACCTTCCTCATCGGCTGCAGCTCGCACACGCTTGGCGGCGCGAACAGGACTTGGTGTCCTTGCTCTTCTGCAAGCGTCACCACCGTGGCCTTCATGTTGTTCTGCACCCACTCTCGAAGCCGCTTCATAAGGTGCTGTCGAGTTTCTGAGGCGTGCACGGGCTGTCCACGCTCTTGAAGCGCCGTGATGATGTCTGGCTTGCTCATCTTCCATGGCTTGGGGGCGCTGGCGGGGAGAGTGCTGTGGTGCGATGCGTTGTCCATGATGATGAGCGAGGGGGACGTGAGATTGGGGAGGAGGTGGTCTCGAAACCAGGCAACAAAGCTGTTGCCGTTCACTGCACTGCGGAGGATATCGTGATGACTGACGCTGGACTTCTTCTTGGGCGTTTGTTCTCGTCCTTGCCTGTGTTCTTCAGCGCCTGTATCACCGGGCACATCAGCAGCTACGGTGCCTGCCTCATCACCATGTTGCTCGTGCTGTTGTTGTTGTTGTTGTTGTTGTTGTTGTTGTTGTTGTTGTTGTTGTTGTTGTTGTTGTTGTTGTTGTTCAGGGCAGGAGCGTCGATTGTGCCCTTGCTGGCCACAGTTCTTGCACCGATACCCACGCTTTGCCTTCTTCTGTGCGGGTTGCTCCTGATGTGTTGACAAGGACGCTGGGCCTGGATCGTCAGCACCGTCCACTTGTGGTACCGTGGGTGTGGGCGGTAGCTGAAAGGGTGGCAGGTAGGCGAGGGCCGGTGACAAAGGCTGCTGCTGCTGTTGTTGTTGTTGTTGTTGTTGTTGTTGTTGTTGTTGTTGTTGTTGTTGTTGTTGTTGTTGTTGATTCTGCATCTGTCGTTCAGCTGTTGCTTGTGCCTTCGCTTTGCCAGCACCGGGGGTGAAGATGCAGCACGTGCCGGGAACAACGTTGGCCTCCGCTTGTGGCGAGGGGGCGGCTGCTCGGGGATCTGGTCCTTGAATGGCCAGCGCAAAGCACCAGCCACGCCCAGAGCACACGTGCGCTGTGTGCTTGTCGTGGTCAGATCCTGGATCGTATAAGCACATGTGGCCTTGACTGGCGTGCTGATAGACGTAGGATTCATCCAGGTATACCTGCAAAGCACCACAAGCACGGGCAGTATGGTTAAAAAATGAGTTCCAAGGAAACAAAGTAGAAAAGCAGAATATCAAAGGTGGAATCGCACACGTGTGCACATGAGAACAGACAGATAGACAGATAAACAGACAGACGGACAAACACACACGCACATGTGCACAAACACACGCACGCACGCACGCACGCACATGTACACAAACAAACAACCAAACAGACAGACAGACACACACACACACAGACAGACAGACACACACACACACACACACACACACACACACACACACACGAGCAACACGGCAAGCAACTCGCCTCGCGAAGGCGTTCGTGGGATGGAAGGGCTCGGTTCTTGAGGAGCACGGCCAAGTAGTCTGCGATTTGATCAAGCAGCTTGGAGGGGAGCTCAGTCTGGGCGCAAGGGTCTCGCTTGAAGCCTCCGTGCTTCAGATACTTCTGGGTCGCCCGCAATGCCGCCTTGTAGTCCTTGTCGTCGTAGCCCCCAATGGGCGACTTGGCCACCGTCACATGGCCGGCATTGATGAGCTTCTTCAGCAAGTGCGTGGCCGTGACGCTGGTTTGCTTCGCTCGGCACTCGTGAATGTATGTTTGCACAAACGTTCGAACGCGCTGGGTTGTGGGGATGCGTCGCTTCTTGGGCTTGCGATTGCCTGGCTGGTTGGCCACTGGCACAGTCAGTGCGCCCTTCTCCTGTCGCATGAAGTACCACCGCCGATACAGCTCGCTCACCCGTGCCGGCGACCCTAGCCCAAGCAGTCTCGACGCTTCCGATGCCACATTGCGGCTCTTGTTGTTCTGCATCGCCTTTCTGTTGCTCGGCATGGCGTCCAGCTTCAACTGCATGCACAGATGCAGAATCAGCAACACGGTTTGGTCGGTCCAGACGGATCTGCCACGCATTTTGCTGACGCGGGTACAGCCTTCACGCAGCGAGCCCTCATCCTCTTTGCGCGGGACCCTCTTTGATGCTGTGCTCCCTTCTTGTTTCCTGCTCGCCTTTCTCCTTTGCAGAGTGCGTGCCACTGAAGGAGGGCTCTCGGGTGGTGGTGGTGTGGGTGGTGCGAAGTCCTCATCGCTGCTCATCTTGCTTGGGTGGTTATTGGCGCAATTTTAATGGCGCGCAAACAAAAAGTCAAAGATTCTTGGTATGGTTTCGCTAATTGTTTTTGACAGGAAAGCACACACACACACACACACACACACACACACACACACACACACACACACACACACACACACACACACACACACACACACACACACACACACACACACACACAAACAGACAGACAGACAGCACACACACGCACACACACAGGCACACATGAGGTTATTTCGCCCATCAGGGCTTCCAGGTGATGGTTGCGATTGCTTTGTCAATGGCGCGTTCAAACGCACTTTCGTCCAGCCCAGACTTGTGTGAGGCTTTGAGGGCAGCAAGCTGTTGTTGTTGGTTTGGTTGTGTTGCAGAGAGAGTTGGGGGGGGGGGGATTGGCGCTGGCATGAATGGGTTGTTGTTGGGTTGCTTGATGCAGAGTGAAGGATGCCAACAGCACACGCACACACACACACACAGACACAACACAACACAACACAGCACAGACACACAGACGCACACAGACACAACACAACACAACACAACACAACACAACACAACACAGCACAGCACAACACAAACACAACACAACAACACAACGCAACGCAACACAACACACACACACACACACACACACACACACACACACACACACACACACACACACACACACACACACACACACACACACACACACACACGTGCGCTGACCTGGTCAACGAGACCGGAGAAGCGGCGCCTTGCTTGCGGATGGTCGGCAACAGTGGTGATGGCTTTGATGGCAGCGAGTACAACACTCGACGAGGAGTCGCGCAAGAGCGGTGGGAGCGTATCAGTGACGCCCGCACCCATGGCGGCCTGCTTTCCCTCTGTGGTGATGGCCAGGCTGCCGTGGTGGTGAAGGGGAGGGGAATGGGACAGGCGAGAGGTGCGGTTGGGCACAAAGTCATGTGCAAGTGCGTATGAGAGAGAGAGAGTGTGTGTGTGTGTGTGAGTGAGTGAGTGAGTGAGTGAGTGAGTGAGTGAGTGAGTGAGTGTGTGAGTGTGTGTGTGTGTGTGAGAGTGTGTAGTAACAAGTGGGCATGAAGGGGAGGGCAATGCCTCCCGCACAGACAGACAGACAGACAGACACGCACACCCACCTCATGATTGCGCCTGCGCACTGTGCTCGCACGCGCGGGTTTGCATCTGAGAGGAGGGCGAGAACAGCGGGCACAGCGCCAACAGCAACGCCCTGGCGCTTTCCTTCGAGGGGAAAGCTGCAACACACACACACACAGATGAGCACACACACACACACACACACACACACACACACACACACACACACACACACACACACACACACACACACACACACACACACACACACACACACACACACACGCACATGGATATGAAAGGAAGGCAGGCAGACAGGAGTACCCACGACCACAACAGCACGGCTGTACCTGAGTCCTGGCTGGTTATGGCGGCGGCGGCGGCGGCGGTGGTGGTGCCGCTCATGTTCAACATACTTGCGTGGCGTGCCTTTGCTTGTTTGACATTGCCACAATATCCTGACGTAGGGTGCCCCTCCACACACATGTACATGCACACACATGCGCACACACACACACACACACACACACACACACACACACACACACACTGCAGACGGCGATGACGAGGATGGCGATTGCGTCAAGCTGACGGAATACGAGGGCAACTACTACCAGAGACGCACATCCTGCAGCTCGGAGTACGACATGGTCGTGTGTGAGCTCAAGCCGATTGTGCCACCACCACCTGTCAGCGTCACCAAAGGCAACTTCCAGTACTACACCACCTTCGAAATGGTGCGCCTCTTCTCTTGTTTTGTGTTTGCACTACCACGCGTGCACTTGACATGTGTGCTCTTTGCTTGTGTTGTGCCATGGGAAGCGGTTCCACCGGCAATGGTAGATATGATCTCACTCACACTGTCACACTGACACACACCTGCACGCACACATACACGACGACCACGACGACCAATACCACGACCAACGAAATCCCTTTGGTATGTACAGGTGACGTATGCGGATGCGCGCTCAGTGTGCCACGACTGGAATGAGGACGCGTATCTGACGCGCGTTGAGAGCGCTGCTGTGGAAGAGCTTCTCTTTGACCTGATGAAAACCGCAGACGACAACAACGACTGGGACCTTCCACCGTGCGTGCCCGTTGCTCACATTGTTCCGCTGTTTGCTCCTGATCTTCATTCGTGGCATGGAAGTTGGCCTTTGCATATTTGCCGCAGACCCCGCAGACCCCGCATTTTCGCCGCCTGATTGGCTCAGCACACATGCGCACATAGTGGGAGCTCTTGTGTCATGTGCGTATGCGTGCTTTCTCACACGTCATGGCATCACCTTGTTCACGCCTTGCTCTGTGTGCGTGGTGTATTTGTGTTTGTTCCCAACCCATCTTTGCTTCGGTCCCTAATCGTACAGGAACCCCCGGATGTGGATTGGTCTCCAGCGGCCGGGCGACCGCAGCAGCTTCAAGCACGACATGAACAGCCGCGACTACACCAGCAGCGATTACAAGAGCCTTGAGTACGGCGATGGTACGTATCGAACATTCGATTGACTTGTATTCCCACGCACCATGTTCACAAACGCACACACACAAGCACACATGTGTCCTTGCGACGTGTCCACTTGCATGCGCTCGAACGCGCCTCCTATCTGTTTGTGTGGCCTATGTTGTATTCCCCATGTTTCTCTCAACGTTGTACATCCTGCTTCGTGCAAACCTCTGCATGACAGGCGACTGTGGGACGATGAGCATTGAGAGCTCGCCGCGCTGGCTGAGGCGTTCCTGCTCCAACAACTTCCTCTTTGTCTGTCGTGTCACCCTCTACGGTACGCTTGAGCGCAGCTGCACCCTCATGCCCTTGTGCTACGTATTACGTGTGTGTTCGCACGATCGCACATAGTCGCTTGCGTGCTCATTTGCTGTATGTTGTTTTGTCGTGGACGCACATTTCGGTCCAATGATAATCGAGTTGGCTGCTCACACCACACCACGCCCTTGTTATGTTGTTGATAGACTGCTTCGCCGGCACCCACTACGACGCCTCCTCCTCCACGCAAGGCTGCCAAGGTATGGTGTGATGTCACCTTTGTGTTTAGCGTTGCTTGCGTGGTGATGGTATGTGTGTCACGTCACGTGTCTTGCGCGTGGTGTTTATGTGTTTTGCTTCCACCGCCAACCAACCTGTCATTTCTCACGTCTTCAACAAATCTGCCATGCAGAGTGCGAGGGCGGCAAATTCACTTCTGAGACCAATGAGCCAAGATGTGAGACTTGGGACGACTGCGACAACCAAGATAACGATAGAGGAACGGTATGTCATGTGATCTCTTGCGCACTCTGTGCATCGTGCATGTGCAACCCCCATGCGGTTGCCCCACGCTTAACAGCCACCGCCACAGCTGCATGAGGAAGCAGTGTGCAAGTGATGAACACGTGCGCCCATGTACCAAATCACCACGACAAATTTACTCATACAATGCTCATTACTCTGCGACACGTGCAACCGGTGTCACTGCAGCGTCTCTTCTTGTCGCCGAGTTTCACCTCAGACCGCCAGTGCTTTGATTGCACGAGCGACGAGGAGAGGGTGGAGGTTGCCAACTCCTACTACGCATGTGTGGTGAGCTTTCGCTTGCCGTTTTGTTTTGTGATGTTGAATACCGTTACTCTTGGCAATGTGCTGACTACGTCCACATAACAATCACACACATAATACGTACACATGTGCACAATTGTCCACCTGGCATGATACTCACTTCACGTTGCCCCTGTTTCCCTGCCTCCGCTCCCACCACCATCACCGCCATTATCATCACTGCTTGCAGTGCGAGCCTGGCCGGTACCGCGGGGAGAGCAGCTTTAGCTCCAACGTGTGCGTGGAGTGTGCTGAAGGCACGTTCAAGAAGGACCCAGGCGATGATGAGTGCGAAGTCAGCGAGCCGTGTGGATATGGACTTGAGGAGGTTGCACGTGAGTCAGCTCCGCAGCGCGTGTTGGTTTTGTCTTGCAACGCTTCCACATCTTTGGCTTGTCTGATGTTGTGATTTCATTCGCAACTGTCTCCTCGTGCGACGCGTGACTCTGTTGTTCCGGCACACTTGTGAAAGACACACACATACTCATCGTGCAAACACACACACACACACACACTCTCTCTCTCTCTCTCTGTGCCACGTCTGCAGCCGTCACCCCTACTTCCCCCCGCGAGTGTCGGGAGTGCGTGCAAGACGTCACCTACTTCAGCTTTGACACGGTTCGATTTCCATTGCATTCATGTACTTGCGAGCTGGCATTCCGCACGTCCGTGTGCGTTCTTGCGGGTGTCGATCTATTATTATCCACGATGCACGTGCCTTGCTTTGCCAACCAGCTGTGCTGCTTCTCCTGCCTCAGCATCACTATGCCGCGTTTCTCACGTGCAAATTTCCACCCATCTTATTCCTCAGAACAAATGCGAGACCGTCCATCCACCCTGCGAGTCGCCAGAGGAGGAAACCCAAGGTGAAAATATTGTTGTTCTTTGTGCATACATTGTGTTCTGTCTGTGAGCCTTGTTGTTATCTGCGCTCAGATGCAGCAGAACAGCAAAGTTATCTTCGCGCCTTGCTCGTCTATGTTTGCCTTCTCATCTGTCGTCTCTGCCCACATCCAACCGTCGATCCCTCCTCTCCCACCACCAAACAACACTTCTCACTTGCTGTCTGTTTTGACTCGACGATCATGTGCGCGGACGCCACCAGAGCCCACCAAGCTGCAAAACCGTGTCTGTAAGGAGTGTGTCCAGTTTGAGACCTTCTACAATTCGACAACGGTGCGCCATGTCAACTTGCACGCGCGGCTTGTGTCGTCCTTTCGACATTGCTGTTGACTTTCTTGCATCGCAAGTCTTGGCTCCCAATTCAACTTCAATATCACGCCTCATGTGCGCGTTTGTGTCTGCAGCATCTCAATCCTTTGACTTTCTCATCCTGTCGCGCTCTCACCACTTCAGAAAAAGTGCCAGTCGGTGTCAAGTTGCCCGTATGGCGAAGAAGAGATCACAGGTGCGTTGCTGCTACTGTTGATTTCATGCGATCAACCCCAGTCGTCGTCGGTGCTTCGCCATCTTATCCTCAATTGCGTTGCCTCTGGTCACCATCCTTGGACTGACATGGTGCTCTGCATGAATTTTTCAACTCTTTTGTATATTACATGTTCACACACTGCTCTTAACACCACCACCACCACCGCCGCCGCCGCCACTTTCACCACCACCACCACTTCCACTACTACTTCTACTACCAGAACCGACACTCACATCTGACCGCGTGTGCGAGCCGTGCATCCTTGGCGAGACGTTTTACGACGGCAACTCGGTGCGTGGGTTGTGGCGCTTATTGAGATGTGAGGGTCTTGGCGGCTCGTTTTGGCTCATGCAATGGACTGCAGTTGTGCCGCGTGTGTTGCGACAGCACATAGCCACGCACTGAATAGGTTGGCCCTCACTCGGTTGCGCTGCGCACGCACCTCAAAGTCGAACATTCACATTGTCCAACGTCACGTGCACATCCGCTCTCTTCGTTTCTTTTCCCCTTCTTTGCCCTCACTGCAGGAACAATGCGAACCTGTGACGTCATGCCCGCTGGGAACGGTTGAGTATGAAGAGCCCACGCTTTTGTCCAACCGCAAGTGTCGATCAGGTTGGTTCGGATTCGTGTTGGTTGTTGGAAGTGTTATGATGCACTGTACACAGATGCATGTACGCGCACACATACATACGCACACACATCCACACGCACGCACATGCATTTACCCGCATGCAAGCATAGCCATGCAGCAGCTGTTCGTACGTATTTGCGGTGCTCATTGTTGCATGTGCTATTTTCACCCTTGCCAGACGCGTTTACTTGCGAGGACGGCAATCGCACAAGTAACGGTGCCGCGTGCAACTGCACGGACATTGCCGATGCCTGCTCGGTGTGCCACCGCGACCTGCAGCTTGAGCCTGCGTACGGCTTGGTTGGCCGCATGTTCAATGCACAGCCCACGGAAACTCGCCTCATCTCGCAGCTCACGCTCGACGCCAGCGTGACCGATGCGCTGGCATTTTGCACCGACAAGTGCCGCGTGCAGTATGCATCGGAGGGTTGTGTTGGCTTCACCCTCACCACGGGCAGCATGCGGCAGTGCCTGTTTGTCAGCTGGTTTGAGAATGAGTCAGTGGACACCGCCGGTGCAAACTTCTACACGCTGCCTGCGTGCGATCGCTGCGCCGAGCGCTATGCCATTGACAACCGCGGATGTACACGTACGTTGTTGCTGCTGTTGAGAGTGTTTGGAGTGCAGTGTGGCTGGTGTCTGTCGAGGGCTCTGTGCTACACACGTGTGCACTGATGTGTGCATGTGTATCTTTGTGCACGTATGCAAGTGCTCTGAATAATATTTGGTTGGTTTGTTGTCGCATGTTTCCCTGCTTGTCGTCATCCGCTCGTTCGCCTGTTACGTTGCTCACACAACGATTATGTACGGCCTATACTTGCCATTTCCTGTCCAAAACATACGTCCACCACCCGTGCAGTGACGGCAACGCCGCCCGTACTCTCTGTTGCGGACCGACGGGTGCTGATCCCGCTGAGCCAGCCCGCGGGCTCGCTCATCACGACTGTCGCTGCCACCACGGACGCACCGGCAGGGCAGGACGACATCACGTACTCCCTGACCACACCGGACGGCTTCGCGGATGTGTTTTCCATCAACGCCACCACGGGCGTCATCACCCTCACCAAGCAGCTTCAGACACCAGCTGCGCCTGTCCTGCTCGTGACTGCAAGGGACAGCCGAACCGAGTGCAACTTGCTTGTGGATGGCACCCTTGTCAAGAACGATGGCTCATGCGTCTCAGAGACAATGGACATCACGGTGAGTCGAACGCAATGTGTGGATGTGAAGCGGAGTGAAATGTTTGATGCAAGCTGTGTTTAGTCATGGCACATTTGCGTTGCTGCCATGTTGTACAAGGTGCCACGGTGATACTTAGCTTTCCTGCACACATGTGTGTTTTGTTTGGTTGCGATACTGTGCTTTGCCCTCACACACATGCCCACTCGCACGCATGCCACACACACGCACACACGCACACACGCACGCATGCCACACACACGCACGCACGCACACACGCACACGCACACCCCACACACCCCCTTACTTTTCTCACTGTGCTTCACCGCTTTGTGTGTCATCACACCAGGTGAGCGTGGTTGCGCTTCTTGGTTGCCCTAGGGACATCAACGAGTACGTGGTGTCTCAGAATGAAGTGGAGGTGTCCTGGGGTGTCACCCCGTCCTTCGTAAGTTTGCACGCACTTGAAAACTGACACCTGTATCTGTTGCACTGTTCAGATCCACTCAGTTGCACGCTTACCACATTCCCATTTCATACTCTTAACTGCTGTACCCGCCCCCCCCACCACACTGACACACCTCAGCCTGCATATTTGACGGATCTGGAGCTTGTGCTTCTCCGGAACGGTAATGAGAGCGACGCCACCGTCACCACAGTCATGGTGCCCGTTGGCACCACCAATTTCACCTACCGCAGTAACGAGACCGTTGCTGGCGAGTACATCCAGTGCAGCTTTAAGGTGCGCACACTTGTGTCCATGAGTCCACTATGGGTGCAAGAGTGCACGGGTGCCTTTTGTTGTTAGCCTGCGCCGTGTGGGCATGCTTCTGTGTGCGCCTGTGCATGTGTCTTTGTGTTGCGTTTCGTGCATTGATTGCGCCCGTTTTCTTACATCGACGCTGTACTGACCGTCGAGGTGGCGTGGGTTATGGTGTATCCTGCCATGAAATGAACACAACCCCTGATTGCAGGTGTCTGTGCGCAAGGGCTTCTTCATCCAAGTCGACGACATTGACCTTCGGCAGTCCGGCAACGCGTCCATCGCCTACTCCCTCTCCTCCCCAGGCATTGCTGACGCGTCGCGCCTGCCCACCTTTGAGAGCGACCTCACATCCTCGTTCTTCATTGGCTTCCGTACGACCACGGGTCGTCCCTTCTCCCTGTCACTGACGGAGGACCTGCAGGCCGACATCAACGTTGCCCTCCGCTGGTGCACAGACAACGAGCCCTTCCCGACGTCGGTACCACCCACCGCCACCAACGCGTCGGTTGGCGTGACGTTTGCCGGCGTGACAACAAACGGGCCACTCCCCGTATTCTCGGACGAAGGCACTTGGGTCTACCAGACTGCTCAGCGCAGGTGAGATGGGCTGAGTAAGTGTGTGTGTGTTTGTGCGTGTGCGTGTGCGTGTGCGTGTATGTGCGTGTATGTGTGTGTTTATGTTTTATGCGTGTGTATGTGTGCGTGTGTGTATGTGATTGTTGTGTGCGTGTGCATGTGATTGTTTGTGTGCGTGCGTGTGTGTGTGCGTGTGTGTTCATATGTGTTTGTACTCGTTGTGGGCATGAGTGTGCCACTTATCCTTAACTCACCCGTCGTTATCGGCCACAACTACCACCACCATCACGTGAATTGCAACAGCTGCGTGAATCTGATTGCCTCGTCACAGGCTGTGACCACATCCATGTCGTTTGTCACGATGGAGCTCCAGTTCAACCCTCTGCCTGTTGCTCGCAGGTAATATTCGCGTGCTTGTTACATGTTGGTCGTTCCTGTTACACGCAATCATGCTTTTTGGGACTTCTCTCACCGTGCTTGTCTGTGTGCTGCCATCTTGTCATCTCGTTCCGTCACCCACACTTCCGTCGCTCACAAAACCATCATCTCATCCACCAACCACTCACATTCACCCCCACACACCCACGCATTCATCCACGCATTCACTCACGCATTCACTCACTCACACCGCATACACAAACCCACGCCCGTACACCACATTCGCCCATTCCATGACAGGCGCCGAGCGGACCCGCCCACGCAACTGTTCATTCCCGCCTTCCCGAGCTATGTTGCCTTTGAGTTGAGCCGCATCGACGGCGAGCCGGCAACTGTCGAAGAGCTCGCGGGCGCCCTCACAACGAAGGATGTCATTGCCCCGACCTTCCTCGACTGCCCGCCGCCACTGGCAGCGCGCACATTTAACATCGACACGATGGGTCAGGTTGAGACGCTTGTTGAGCTGCCCAAACTGACAGTCTACGATGCCATTGACCCTGCGCCAGTGGTTGACCCAGCCACATACTCGTCCGTCCTCTCCGCAGTCGGTTCGTATGCACTGTGATTATTGTGATGGTTATTTCGCGTGGGGCACCTGAAGTTGCTGTCCCGGACTCACCTTGCTTTTGTGGTCGTTTGTTAGAAGCATCAATTGTGTTCACCGCGCCAATATCATGAATGTGCCAATGCAAGGCTGCTGTTCTCTGCTTTTTTTCGCTTTTCTCATAACAACGGCCTGAAACCCTGTCATCGTATTGCACCACATTTGGTTGCTGCCCTATGCTTGTTGCACGTGTTCTATCAGATTCCCCGCACAGCGTCACGTTTACAGCGAGCGATAGTAGCAACAACGAGGCCCAGTGCACGTTTGACGTGTTTGTGACTGTGCCGGAGAACGTGCTGCAGCGCAAGGAGGTCGTTACGGAGTGGGCGTATCCGATTGAGCGGAGGATTGTACCCGACCTCAACCTCGCCTTCTACACGCACCGCATCCACGGCACGGGCCCAGTGTCCTCCTTTCAGGTATGACTAATTGGGCAACCCTCACTGCAGTTGCTGTGGTTTACCGTCCACCTTGTCGTGGTTTTGCCTGCATGAATTGCTTGTCTGTTTGTTTGCAGCCGCCACTGCATGAAAATGCCATCACATCACCCCACCACCACTCTAGCGCAACATCACACGGCAGCTGTGCAGCACAGCCCATGTCCGTACAACAATACATGTGACCATTCATGCAGCTCACACGAACAACATCACAAACGCTTTTCCTTGACTCACCCCACCAACGCCGCACCAACACCGCAACACTTTCAAATACCATCAGGCGGACATGAGCATGCTGACTGGCCTGAACATGACGTTTGAGACAAAGAACGACGAGCTTCCGTTTGTTGTTCGCGAGCGCGCTCAGGCTGCGCGCGGGCGATTTGTTGTCGACATGCAGTGGGAGGCAGCTGGCAAGACGCCAGGCTTCATCTACGAGCATCAAGGTGGGGCCTGGGTGCTGCAGCTTGCAGTTGCTGAGTGTGCTGATTTGGTTGTTTGTTCGCTGCATCAGCAACAACCACGTGTTTTGGACTGTCGTTCTAGTCCTGAGGCATTTTTGTCTCTCTAACAACAAAGGCACGATCTTTTGGCAAACATTCTCTTCTTACTCACCCACTCGCTTTCGAACATCCACCCACACATCTCGTATTCCCACACGCACACATTCCTAACTTGCCGCTTTGGGAAACAGAGAGTGCAAGCGCGTTTCTCGTTGTTCGGGGATTCAAGTACAGCGACGACACGGCCGCGCCCGTCACGAAGAAGTTTGCCCTGCCGGAGCAGCTAGTGCGTTGTGCGTGGGGTTTGCTGCTTGTTTCATGTCTCTCCTCACACCTTCTAGCTATCTTTCCAACCAATTGCTGCCCATGGCACTCATGTCCTCATCGAGACCCGAAGACGCACATACAACTGCCGAATTTCCGATCACTTACACACACACACACATACACACACATACACACATACACACATACACACTGGCAGGTTGCTGTTCGGGAGTCTGATGGCGTGGTTGGCGTTGTTGGCCGTACAGACGCGTTTACGCGGCCGTTCACCTTCACCTCTGCGACGCTCGTACTGCGCTTCCTCGGTGTCGCTGACGACAACCTTGGTAATGTCACCTGGACCCTCACCAAGGACAGCCACGTCGGCGTGGAGTATGAGTACTCGTACAACCCGAACAAGGGCCCGCTCGCAGCGTCGACGGTCGCCGGCTTCCTCACGCTACTCGACAGCACGCCGCCCATCTTCTCCTTCTGCCCAGCAAACATCAGCGCGCCCACCAACATTGGCAAGAACTACCTCACAGCCAGCTGGCCCTCCCCGGTGGCAACAGACAACCGTAACCGCACGTATCTGAGCAGCAACTTTGCCTCGGGCCACCGCTTCCCGCTGCGGAAGCCCGGCACAGGGCCCTGGACGGTCATGTACACGGCGACCGATGCGTTTGGCAACACTGCACCCTGCACTTTCACTGTCACCATCACCGACACGGAGCGTCCAGTCCCGAGCCCCTCGCACACGGTGTACAAGACCCTGCCAGCAACGGCTAGCACGGTGTTTGTTGGTATTGACGAGCTCATGCCTGCGTCTGTGATGGACAACGCCATGATGACCGACCAGGCAGGTGACCCCATCCCATGGACGCAACCCAGGCTTACTGAAGACAACACCCCCGACAACAACCGCTACGGGCTTGGCGTACACATGGTGGAGCTGTGGTTCACGGATGCATTCAACAACACGGCGCCGGCATACACTTTCATCAACGTGACGGACGTGACGGCGCCCGAGCGGGTCACGTGCCCCGGGTCAAAGGGCGTGTCGACACCGCTTGATGAGTCAGCGGCAATTGTCAACTGGACCATGCCAACCTTCAGGGACAACAGCGGGGTTCCGCCAGTTGTCACCTCCAGCCACGTGTCTGGCTCCGAGTTTGCCATTGGCAAGCACACCATCACCGTCACAGCTTTCGATGCGTCTGGCAATGAGGCGCTCATCCCTTGCACATTTGAAATTACAGTTTTCGCGAATGTGTCGGCGCCCCCGCCGCCCCCATTCTCCAACAGCACCATCGGCCCCTTTGCGAGCAGGTCGCAGGATACGGGCGTGATTGCCGGCGCAGGCGCTGCTGGTGGGCTGTTGCTGATTGGCGTTGTGATGGGCATAATGTTTGTCAACCGCATTCGCGCACGGTCCCGCGCGCCGCAGAACTGGGAGGACATCTTCAAGCTCATGGATCAGTTTAAGGACTGCGAGGAGGGCCCACGGTGAGTGACTTGCGTGTGGCGTCTTGCTGGTGAACTGTCATGGCTGTGACCTGTCCTTAGCACTTTGCATGGGTGCTGTGTACCTGTGTGTTGTTGTTATTATTCGTGCTGGTGCTGGTGCTGTTGCTGCTTCAAGTAAGTGCACGAGGGCTGGTGGTGCTCGCTTGTAACCATTGGTCGATCGCCATTCATGCCATCACACACCGTGTGTTGACGTTCATTTATCCACTCACCCCAAAACCATACGTCGGTTCGCTGTGCATGTCATGGACTGCCCATCATGTGCACGTGCAGGTACCCGCGCGAGCTGGACCGCGCAGCACTTAAGCTGCTTGAAGAACTGGGCAAGGGCGCTTTCGGCGTTGTCTACAAGGGCCTCTTGAAGGAACACGCACATATCCCAGGCTACCTCGTTGCTGTCAAGTCACTGCACGAGAAGGTGTGTGCTTGCGTGCATACGTGCTTGTGCGCGTGTATGCTTGCGTGTGCGTATGCGCGTGTATGCTTGCGTGTGCGTATGCGCGTGTGCGTATGCCTGTATTGCCACTCTGTTTGTCCTTACACGGTGCAATGTGTTTTCGTTTGTCGCACACTATTCCTCTGTTTCGTTGACAGGGAACGCTGGCTGACCGACAAGAGCTGCTGGAGGAGGCGGCCGTTATGGCGCAGTTTGTCAACCCACACGTTGTTGAGCTTGTCGGTGTCATCACCGTGGGCAAGCCCGTGTACGTTGTCACCGAGTTCATGGAGCATGGTGCTCTCAAGTCGTACCTGGAGGATAACGACGTGCCTGTTGACAAGCTGGTCATGTGGGCCGGCGACTGCTGCGAGGGTCTTGCGCACGTCCACGGCAAGGGCTTCATCCACCGTGACGTTGCTGCGCGCAACGTGCTGCTCTCCAGCGAGATGCGATGCAAGATCAGCGACTTTGGCCTCGCTCGCGAGATTGAAGAGGACGACACATGTGCGTAGTGCTCTCATTGCGTGCTTATTTGTGTGTGTGTGTGTGCGCGCGTGTGTGTGTTTGTGCGAGTACTGCTCTTCTTCTGTCTTCTTGTGTGTTTGTGAGCGTTTGTGTGTTTGTGAGCGTTTGTGTGTTTGTGAGTGCTTGAAGGTTGATGAGCGGTGGCATGATCCTGCTTGATGTTGAACTCGATTGTTGCCTTGCTCTCTCTCTCACACACACACACACATGACAGACTACAAGTCCCGTGGCGGCCAGCTGCCTGTTCGCTGGACGGCAATTGAGGCCTTGGAGGAGCGAAAGTTCAACGAGAAGACAGACGTGTGGAGCTGCGGCATTCTCCTCTACGAGATGTGGACACGCGCTGACCTCCCATACAAGGGCTGGTCCAACCAGAAGGTGTGGGTCGAGGTTGCTGCCGGCCATAGGCTGTCCAAGCCAGACGGCTGCCGCGACGACGTGTATGAGCGCATGCTCGCGTGCTGGAGCGAGAGTCAGGACGATCGCCCCACCTTCGCCCAACTTTCCGAGTTCTTCCGCACGCTGTACAAGGAGCTCACGGGCGAAGACCTCAACGCACAGGACTACCTCGAGGTGAGTCTGGCGTGGCGTGCGCTCACACACCGCACCGTGCCTTGTTGAGGGTGGCAGCAATGTTGATGCAACGCGTTTCAAACTGGCCCATATTCACCCAATTCACAACAATCTTGTTTTTGTGTGTGTACGTGCTTTTTGATGTTTGTAGGTGGATGCCACTGCAGAGACGGAGCCTGTGGAGAAGAAGCGCGGGCTGAAGGGCCTGCTTCGTCGCTTGAGCGGAAAGCATTTCTCCAACCCGCTGTACAAGGCAGATGCAGACGATGGTGATGACGATGGGGACAACAACAACGATAACGACGATGACCCCAATGCTGCTCTGTATGACATGGGTGAGGACGAGCCCACAGCGCCCCTCCCGGACGAGCGGGATGAGAACGCAGACCTGTACGACATGGGCGATGACAACAACGACAATGCCTTCACCACCACCACCTCCCTTGGAGCCTTGCCAGAGGAGGAGGAGGAAGAAGAAGACCAGAACGGCGCGGAGGGTGCCGACCTGTATGACATGGGTGATGACAACGAAACCGGTGGTACTGAGGGCGCAGACCTGTATGACATGGGTGATGACGAGCCTCAGATGGCAGCAACGTCCTTCCGGCCCCAGCAGGACCTCGAGGGTGCAGACCTGTATGACATGGGCGATGATAGTGCAGGCACAGCTCCTGTGAAGGAGGTCAGTTGGTGACGTGCACATTGGTGGGGTTGGTTGCAACACTGATGCCTTCTTCTGTCGACGTTTCAGCTCCACCCCCATGACCACGCACTCAACACGCAACACACCACATCAATCCGCAAGCGCACACAAATCTCACAAAATACACACACATGTGCTGCTCACCCTGTTGACTTTGCACTGCACCGTGTTTCCATTCGAACCAGAACATCTCTGGCTTTGGATTCCAGGAGACTGGATTTGGCATGGCCGCCCAGCAGCCGCCGCAGCAAGACTTCAGCCAGGACCTCTACGGCAACATGGGCAACGATGACAACGAGCCCGCAACCACAACCTTTGGCCGAACAGGTAATGCAGTCATGTCACACACACATGACACGTGCCGTGGTACAGATCCATGATTGGCCAATGCCTTCTGGCAGGCACCTTTGTAGTTGTCCGCCATGCAAAGTTGCAATGTTTTTATATTGTAGCGCCTCTTAAGCAAGAAAACATTGACTCACCGTACTTCCATCCTGTTTCCTTGTCGTTGGCGTTGTACGCGCAGCCGGAGACGTGTCTGCTGCGGACGTTGGCAAGCGCGTTTCCGTGCAAGGGTACGCATGCAAGGGCACGCTACGTTTCTTCGGCAACCACAGCGTCACGCGCGCAGTGCGCTGCGGTGTTGAGCTTGACCAGCCCCTTGGCAAGAACAACGGCACTGTCAAAGGCCACAAGTACTTCTCCTGCAAGGACAAGCACGGCGTCCTCTGCCATCCAGGCAAAGTGTCTGTGATTGAGTGAACGGTTCATGCGTATGAACGCGAGCGTTGTCCGCACTGGCTGTTGGCTCAACACGACTCCTGGCGTTTGCCTGTGGTGATTATGATGTCGCTTCCACCCGACACCAAGTGTTTCAGTGTTGTTGTGCTCACGGTTTCCCGTCGTTCTGTATTCTTCCTGATCCCTGGAGGCGTTTGCATCCTTCCTATTCGTCTCTTCCGTCCTATCCTGTTGATACTGCTTTTGCTTGCACCATGTTTGGACGTGTGCTGTTGTATTGTTGTGCCTTTCTGCTTTGTGCACATACACCCGCGCCCCCAAAGTGAGCAGCACACGGTGTTTCGTTGCCCAAGCTGACTTTATTTTGTATGAACAATGAAACAATCGCATCAGCCTATGCACAACTGCGAGAGAGCATAACGAGAGTGAGGGAGAGGGTGGAATCACGTGCATCACACACAAGACGCATCTCCAGCACAAGAACACCAGTTATTACATGGAGAAGAAGAAGAGGGTTGCCAATCATAAACACATGCTGTTTGGTTGATTGTTTGTTTGACCATGGTCGAAGTCATGGCAGCAAAGGTACTGCTCGCACACGCGCGGGCCGCTTTCTCCACTGCTTTCGACGGCCGGGTGACGACGGGGTGGGTGGCTCGTTCGTGTCAAACTCAACCACCGCCTCGCTGTCAGCAAACCGCACCCTCGACCCATTCCGACTCTGCCCGCAACCAAACAAGTGAGGGTGAGTGAAGGCAGACACTCTGTGAGCCAATGAAGCAACGTACAGCAAAAGCACAACCGAAAAAAGCGGCAAGCACCACTCAACATCACGACTTTGACATCACGAACCTTGCTTGGAGGCAGCAACTCTGTGTGGCGCCGTTTCGTCAGCCCTTGCGATAGCTTGCGCCGCGCACGCCTGTGATGGTGCGGTGACACACCGGCACCACGCTGCATTTCTTGAAGAAAGTCCTCGACAACACGGGGCGACTCGCCAATGGCAGAAGCAACAGGCGACAGCAGCACTCTCGTAGGCGGGAGATAGTGAGCTGTGAAAGCCAAAGTACAAGTGTGAGGGCAAAGGCTAAGCAACGTACCTAAAACACGGAAAGGCGGAAGAAGGTTGAAAAAGATATGCAAACAAAAAGCAGGATCAAGCAGTCAACATTGCACCTTGTGGTGAGGGCACGAAAGGTAACCGCCAAGACGTAGAGTGGTCATGCCCGCGGTACGACGTCGACGACGTTGTCTGCAGGTCCATGGAAGGCCGCTCATCACCATCATCACCAGCGCCCGCACCGCTCAACCGCTCGCCCTCGCGTCGGTAAAGACCAAGGTCGTGCCCGCGGTACGACGTCGACGACGTTGTCTGCAGGTCCATGGAAGGCCGCTCATCACCATCATCGCCAGCGCCCGCACCGCTCAACCGCTCGCCCTCGCGTCGGTAAAGACCAAGGTCGTGCCCGCGGTACGACGTCGACGACGTTGTCTGCAGGTCCATGGAAGGCCGCTCATCACCATCATCACCAGCGCCCGCACCGCTCAACCGCTCGCCCTCGCGTCGGTAAAGACCAAGGTCGTGCCCGCGGTACGACGTCGACGACGTTGTCTGCAGGTCCATGGAAGGCCGCTCATCACCATCATCACCAGCGCCCGCACCGCTCAACCGCTCGCCCTCGCGTCGGTAAAGACCAAGGTCGTGCCCGCGGTACGACGTCGACGACGTTGTCTGCAGGTCCATGCAAGGCGCTCATCACCATCATCACCAGCGCCCGCACCGCTCAACCGCTCGCCCTCGCGTCGGTAAAGACCAAGGTCGTGCCCGCGGTACGACGTCGACGACGTTGTCTGCAGGTCCATGGAAGGCCGCTCATCACCATCATCACCAGCGCCCGCACCGCTCAACCGCTCGCCCTCGCGTCGGTAAAGACCAAGGTCGTGCCCGCGGTACGACGTCGACGACGTTGTCTGCAGGTCCATGGAAGGCCGCTCATCACCATCATCGCCAGCGCCCGCACCGCTTAACCGCTCGCCCTCGCGTCGGTAAAGACCAAGGTCGTGCCCGCGGTACGACGTCGACGACGTTGTCTGCAGGTCCATGGAAGGCCGCTCATCACCATCATCGCCAGCGCCCGCACCGCTCAACCGCTCGCCCTCGCGTCGGTAAAGACCAAGGTCGTGCCCGCGGTACGACGTCGACGACGTTGTCTGCAGGTCCATGGAAGGCCGCTCATCACCATCATCACCAGCGCCCGCACCGCTCAACCGCTTGCTTAAACCATCATGCCCAAGCACCACCTGGTCCTCGGCCGGCGGCACAATCGCCTTCTGCCGCGCACTCGCATAGTCGTACGACGTGAAGTCGCGCCGGCTGCTGCTCAGGAACCGCTTCTCGTCGCCAACGCCGTCCCCGCCCTCAAGCCGCACGTTGCTCTCCCGCCGAGGCACAGCCCGCGCACGCGCCTGCTCTGCGCTCTTCGCGCTGTACTCCGCACGGTTCGACGTCACAAACCGCCCGGCATCCCCAGCGCCGCTGCCACCAGCGTCGCGCTCGTGCCCAAGCACCACCTGGTCCTCGGCCGGCGGCACAATCGCCTTCTGCCGCGCACTCGCATAGTCGTACGACGTGAAGTCGCCGCCGGCTTGCTGCTCAGGAACCGCTCCTCGTCGCCAACGCCGTCCCCGCCCTCAAGCCGCACGTTGCTCTCCCGCCGAGGCACAGCCCGCGCACGCGCCTGCTCAGCGCTCTTCGCGCTGTACTCCGCACGGTTCGACGTCACAAACCGCCCGGCATCCCCAGCGCCGCTGCCACCAGCGTCGCGCTCGTGCCCAAGCACCACCTGGTCCTCGGCCGGCGGCACAATCGCCTTCTGCCGCGCACTCGCATAGTCGTACGACGTGAAGTCGCGCCGGCTGCTGCTCAGGAACCGCTCCTCGTCGCCAGCGCCGTCCCCGCCCTCAAGCCGCACGTTGCTCTCCCGCCGAGGCACAGCCCGCGCACGCGCCTGCTCAGCGCTCTTCGCAGACTGTACTCCGCACGGTTCGACGTCACAAACCGCCCGGCATCCCCAGCGCCGCTGCCACCAGCGTCGCGCTCGTGCCCAAGCACCACCTGGTCCTCGGCCGGCGGCACAATCGCCTTCTGCCGCGCACTCGCATAGTCGTACGACGTGAAGTCGCGCCGGCTGCTGCTCAGGAACCGCTCCTCGTCGCCAACGCCGTCCCCGCCCTCAAGCCGCACGTTGCTCTCCCGCCGAGGCACAGCCCGCGCACGCGCCTGCTCAGCGCTCTTCGCGCTGTACTCCGCACGGTTCGACGTCACAAACCGCCCGGCATCCCCAGCGCCGCTGCCACCAGCGTCGCGCTCGTGCCCAAGCACCACCTGGTCCTCGGCCGGCGGCACAATCGCCTTCTGCCGCGCACTCGCATAGTCGTACGACGTGAAGTCGCGCCGGCTGCTGCTCAGGAACCGCTCCTCGTCGCCAGCGCCGTCCCCGCCCTCAAGCCGCACGTTGCTCTCCCGCCGAGGCACAGCCCGCGCACGCGCCTGCTCAGCGCTCTTCGCGCTGTACTCCGCACGGTTCGACGTCACAAACCGCCCGGCATCCCCAGCGCCGCTGCCACCAGCGTCGCGCTCGTGCCCAAGCACCACCTGGTCCTCGGCCGGCGGCACAATCGCCTTCTGCCGCGCACTCGCATAGTCGTACGACGTGAAGTCGCGCCGGCTGCTGCTCAGGAACCGCTCCTCGTCGCCAACGCCGTCCCCGCCCTCAAGCCGCACGTTGCTCTCCCGCCGAGGCACAGCCCGCGCACGCGCCTGCTCAGCGCTCTTCGCGCTGTACTCCGCACGGTTCGACGTCACAAACCGCCCGGCATCCCCAGCGCCGCTGCCACCAGCGTCGCGCTCGTGCCCAAGCACCACCTGGTCCTCGGCCGGCGGCACAATCGCCTTCTGCCGCGCACTCGCATAGTCGTACGACGTGAAGTCGCGCCGGCTGCTGCTCAGGAACCGCTCCTCGTCGCCAACGCCGTCCCCGCCCTCAAGCCGCACGTTGCTCTCCCGCCGAGGCACAGCCCGCGCACGCGCCTGCTCAGCGCTCTTCGCGCTGTACTCCGCACGGTTCGACGTCACAAACCGCCCGGCATCCCCAGCGCCGCTGCCACCAGCGTCGCGCTCGTGCCCAAGCACCACCTGGTCCTCGGCCGGCGGCACAATCGCCTTCTGCCGCGCACTCGCATAGTCGTACGACGTGAAGTCGCGCCGGCTGCTGCTCAGGAACCGCTCCTCGTCGCCAAACGCCGTCCCCGCCCTCAAGCCGCACTTTTATTTTGTGCTGTGTTTGTACGTCATTATCATCATCCTCATGTAGGATGCCGTTGCCTGCTTGCATGGCTTTTTTGTTTTGTTCGCGTTGTGGCTTGCGCTGGTTGTACTGTGCCATATTGGCGCCATCATTGTCATCACGTTCGTCATCGGAGGATGACCCCGCGCTTGCTGCTGTACTTCGTCGTCTGCTCTCCTGTGCTGATCGTTGCTTTTTGTAGTCCCCATAAAACTGGTCCAGCACCGCAACAGCTTCGGGCTCATAATGGCTTGTCTGTTTCATTATCCGTGATCTTCGCTTAAACTCACGCTTCGTATGCGTGTGTGGCCTTCCGCACTCTAATTTCACGGCACCTCTGTCTCTGCTGCCCCCTCGCACATTGATATGCCTCGTCCTTTCTTCCTTACTCTCGCTGATTGTGCTTTGCTGCAGCTAGCTGTTGTGGCTGCTTCTCGCCCGCGTTTTGTAGCAAAGCAACAACACTGGTCGAGACCGTCGAAATATTGATTAAGATATTGCTAATCGCCCATACTTGCTGTGGTAGACAATCTGCTAACATGTTCCTATTGTTTTCGGCTGCCGCGTCCGCGAAAAAACACGACAAGAATAAATAAAATAAATTAATCTATTGTATTGTGGTGTGCGTGTTTGTGCTCGTCAACCAACAACGGTTTGACCATTTTCCTGACACCACCCCAATCAACAAAACAATTTCCTGCCAACCCCTTTTGTTCTTTCTGTTGTTCTTTGCTCTTTTGCTTGCTTCTTGTTTTCTCTTCTTGTTTTCTGCTTGCGTTGTTGCGTGCCGCTGTCGTGTCGTGCTTGTTCGTGTTGTGCTGTGTGGCTGGTGGTTATTTTCGATTGTCGTCGTGGCTGTTTCTTTGTTGGCGTGTGCGTTGTCGAGGTGTGTGAGCCGGTCGTTCGCTCGTGGCCTTGTCCGCGCCGGGTTTGGTTGATTTGTTTCGACCGCACCTTATCAACAACAACAGCACTCGCGCCCGGCTTGACCCATCTCCCGTCCGTCCAAGTCGTGGTGCGTTGCCTGTGGGGGTTTTCGGAGGTTGCCAAGGTTTTGTTGTGCTTCCTTGCCACGTTGACTGTGTTGAGGAAGGAAGGAAGGAAGGAAGGAAGGAAGGAAGGGTGCGTTCCATGGAGTCATTGCTGCTGTTTGGTGGAGGACATGTTTTTTTTTTTGTGCGGAGTGTGATGTGCTCGTGTGCGTATTGAAGCCAGCAGCAGCGACAGCATCACGAATGAATGGCGGCGTGAAGGGGTTGAACCAATTTAGCCCAGACCAACGTGCCAACACAGCAATGAACCATGATGATGACGATGATGATGATGATAGACACAGCGGAGGGCGGAGATGTGATTTGCTGATAGCCTTGTGTGTGTGTGTGTGTGTCGTGTTGTGTCCTCCATTTCATGTCAACATGAGCTCCACCCGTTCGTTGCTTCTTATTTTTGACTTTGTCTTCGTTCCTCGTCGTGAATGCTCACCTTTTGCTTCCATCCCCTTCTTCTTGTCCTGTTGTGCATCATTTTTGTCCATCGTTACCGTTGCCCCCCTCACGTGGACTTGTCCGCGTGGCACTTTTCACGACGACGACAACAGCAACGAAACCGACGACAGCGACAGGCACACGCACCCTCAGAGCAGCTGGGGCGGGTTGATTGAGGCAACAACTCCGATTGACTTTGTTGTTGCGGGCACGACTGAGCTCCAACCACTCTTTTGCTGGTTCCGGGCATGTCCTTGCACATTGAAGGATGGGGGTTCTTGGAAGACGACTCGTATGTGCCGTATCAAGGCATTGAGGCCATGCGCACGCAGTCGTACGAGAAGCTTGCTTCAAGCAACTGCTCGCTCTGCCGCGCTGTCCTCATCAAGCGGTCGCTGCCTCGCCTGGACCAACTAAGCCAACGCATGCATGCTGGCGCCTTGAGCCCCACCGCCCACATTCCACGGGAGCCCCCGACCTCGCTGTCCCCACCGCTCACGCCCGTGGATGACCAGTTTCCCGCGCTCGGGGAGCCCAGCACGGCAGACATTGACGAGTTTGAGGATGCGTTTGCGGATGTGTGTGAGGACTCGTTTTATCTTCAAAGGGCGAACGACAACGCTGGTTTGGACATGAGCGGGCTTCGTGTACGCTCGAGGCGAGCAAGCCTTGACGAAAGGCGTGCGCTGTCGCCAGAACCAGCACCCGCCACAACTGCTGCCGCGACATCGGGTGACCACCGCCGCGATGCGACAATGCCTGTTGCTGGCTCGCCCGCGCCATCGACCAACGAGCAGAAAACCCCCCTTCTTGCGTCGTTATCACAGGCGCCACTCTCCTCCACATCACCCTGCTCCTCCGTCACGGGCCCCCTTTCTGACCAGCCCTGCGATGAGGGCGAGCTTGACACCGTGTCTGGGTGCGCACCGACACCGCCTTCTCTCTTCAACGACCACCTCCGACAGTCATCATCGACAAGGAATGTGCTTGGTGGCACCGACGCTGCCTTTGGGCATGTCAATGCAGCGCTGTCATTTGGTGCCATGGGGCACGAAGACCAGCAGCGCCTGCTCACTTGCGGCTTTGCGACCAGCAGCGCCAACAGGAGGGGCGTCATGGACAACAACGCAGCACCTGGGATTTATGCCGACTTGCACGCCAAAGCCACGAGCCAGCTCGGCGGCGGTGACCGCACGTATGTTGATGACAATGAGCAGGACGACGATGATGACGACGACGACAGGAACAGCCTGGACAGTTTTAGTGACGACAGTCCTGTGAGCGGCAACAGCTTGAGCGATGATCCCGCGCTCATGCCCACACCGACCATTGCCGATGTCATGAGCGACGATGTGGCGTTTGCCGCTCGCTGGAGCGCAAAGCGGTCCTATGCAGACTCACTCCCAGCCAGTCGCAGGGGAAGCGTGTGTGGCCGTGATGCTGGCATGGGCGACATTTGCGGCGGCAAGGGCTTTTACAGCAACAGAAGCAATGCTACCGACGGTGACGACGACGACGATGATGTGTTTGAGCCCCCAACCAAGACAAGCCGACCCTCGACGCCATGCCATGTTGCCGAGCAGACTGCGTCTGTGTCGCGGCTCTCTCCAACGGTTATGGCGCTGGTGTGAGCTCTTGTTATCTTCCCAGATGCCCGGAGCATGTGTGTCCCGTGATGTTCTTGTGGAATGCGTGCGCGTGCTTGTCTTGATGCGTCGTGAACCACCATTGTTGCTGGTTTGAACACTTTGTCTTCGCTTAGGGTGCAGCCTCGCTCGTCTGGCCTTCTCTCTCTCCTTCTCTCTGTTTTGTTTGTCCCTTGTGTGCTGTTGTCACATCGCATCTCAACATCACATCACCTATTCAACTTCCCCTCCCCTCTTTTGTTCGTGATCACCCCCTCTTCACCCCCTCTTGTTGCACAATTCAGAAAGGCCTTTGGTGCCAACGTGTCTCTCCCTATCTCTCTCTCTCTCTTGTGTGTACATACCTACTCACAGCAAGCCTGCTTCGGCAGGCACTCATACACAGGATATAACTGACTGACTGACGCTTGGCACAACACAAAAGCGAGTGAGAGAGGGAGAGGCAGTGAAAGAAGGAGGACACCAGAAACTCAACGCTCAAACAACAAACAAACAAAAGTTGTCTCGTCAATCCTTCATGGCTGGTGTGGTGGTTGGCTTCGTGACGGTGCCGACACGGGAGCTTGCGGCTACCATTGCCAAGGCACTTGTCTCGACCAGGGTTGCGGCCTGCGTGAACACCATCCAAGGCATCACCTCTACGTGCGCGCGCGCGCGCGCGTGTGTGTGTGTGTGTGTGTGTGTGTGTGTGTGTGTGTGTGTGTGTGTGTGTGTGTGTGTGTGTGTGTGTTTGTGTGTCTGTGTGTGTGTTTGTGTGTCTGTGTCTGTGTGTGTGTTTGTGTGTGTGTGTGTGTCCATATGAACGTGACCACCTGTGCATCTGCCTACTTGCTGCCCTTCTCACATTTCCATCGACACATCACTGGCCTGGCGTAGGTACATGTGGGAAGGAAAGGTGGAGGAAGACAGCGAGCTGTTGCTGATGATCAAGACACAGGACACCATGAAGGAGCAAGTCATCCAACGCGTCACAGAGCTGCACACTTATGATGTGCCAGAGGTGCGCTTGCATGAAGTGTATTGTATGGCCGTCTGTTCATGCGTACTGCCCCACATATGTTCATGCGCATTGCCCCGCTGTCTTCTGTCCTTGCTGCAGCGCCTCACTCACGCCTCTGTATTCATCTTCGCATGACCTGCCTGGTGTGTTGGTGCTTTGTTTCAGGTCATCTTCACAGATGTCACTGGTGGGCTGCCAGCGTACTTGAAGTGGGTGCAGACTGAAGCTGTTGGAACTACAGCCCAGGCACGTCCGCCTCCATCGTCCTGATGCACCCAATCGTGTGTACATGTATGTATGTGTGTATGTGTGGGTTTATGTGTGATGACTGCACTCCTCCTCCTCCTCTTCCTCCCCCGTATGCCGTCCCCCAACAGTACACAGGCCGTATCATTGGGAGTGTAACAACGAAGAAGACAAGCAACGTGTGCAGCACGTGCAGAGGAGATTTGACGCACGCTCGGGTACAGCCCGCACTTCACAACACAACAAGCACCACACAAACACAACAAGGCAAAGCGCACACACACACACACACACACACACACACACACACACACACACACACACACACACACACACACACACACACACACACACACACACACACACACACACACACACACACACACACACACAGGACGACAGCCAACGCCGCAACACACGTTTACAGCGAGCCCAGGAAGCTCGAGAGCTGGTCTTCGCGCACACTGTCGTCTCCGAGGATGCGTGCATATGAGTCATTGTCAAGCTTCCAACACATGGCCAACACAATCTCAAAGTCATGGTAGTCGTGCAGTTGCAGCGCCTGTGCATGTGTGTGTGTGAGTGTGTGCGTGTGCGTGCGTGCGTGCGTGTGTGTGTGTGAAGCAGGTGATAAGTTGGGTGGACAAGCAGCAGCAGCAGCAGCAGCAGCATCCAGCGAGTATGTACGCCACCAACCTGTCTCATCTTGTCGCGCTTCTGTGCAGGAAGCGGCCGCTCTGCGCCATGGCCATTCCAGATAGGGACGCGAACTTGATGTGAGCACACGTTGACACGAGCAAAACAGTACTCATGCACACACCCACACGCGCAGAAACACGCATACTTGCAGACGCACCGTGCAGATACACCACACACACACACACACACACACATTCACATAAACATTCAAACACATAAACATTCACATAAACATGCAGACACACACACACACACACACAAAAAAAAATTTCACACACACACACACACACACACACACACACACCGGATGTGGCGCGGCATCCACTCGCAAGCTCAATCAGAACGAGCGCTGTCCTCTGCAAGGAACGACTGAAGTGCGTGAGTACCGCAGCGTGGCACGACGTTGGTTCGTACAGCAGCGTCTCCAGCAATGACCGCACAAGCGGCGCTGGGCGTCGCGTTGCAGGGAGTTTGCTTGCAGGCAAGTCAGCCTGACGACCGGCCTAGGACGTCGCAACAGTGCCATCGCAAGCGGCAATCACAGCAATGAGTACGCCATGGGCACTTGCAGCCATCAATCAACAGAATGGGTTTGTTGTGCACAAGCAACGAGAGCACACAGACACACAGGTGCAGACACACAGGTGCAGACACACAGGTGCAGACACACAGGTGCAGACACATACACGCACGCACACGCACGCACACACACACACACACACGCACGCACACGCACGCACACACACACACACACACACACACAAACACACGCACACACACACGCGCGCGCGCGCGCACACACACACACACACAAGATGGTCGCGTTGCCCACCTCCAAGTTGCTGAGCTGCGCATGCTCCCGCTGCTCGTGTTCGACCGTGTACACATCGCGGTTGTGTGTTCTGCGGACAACACGAAGCTTGGGGTCGATAATCGTCGTTGGGTGGTTCGCATCGAGCACCTGTGACTCAATCTTGTCCACAGGCGCATTCACCACCTGTTGTGGACGCGCAAAAGCGCATTTGCAGGAATGCATGAGCGTGGTACATGTGCGTGTGTATGCATGTGTTTGTGTGCGAGCGTGGTACTTGTGTGCGTGTGGATGCATGCATGTGCTTGTGTGGCAACGTGGTCATCAACATGCATCACGGCTGGCTTTCAAATGCATCATCACACCATCCCCCCCCACACACTCGTGCGCACTTGAAGAACAAGGTCTGGCTCGTAAATGCTGCCTGTTGAGTCATAGCGCACTGTCTCTTGCTCAGCTGAGAAGAAACGGCAGTCGAGCAGACAGGGCGAGGGGAGGCGCATAGCAGTTCGTGGAAGGGTGCAAGCTGTGAGTTCACTGCAGCGCAGTCATGTCGCACACACAGAGGGAGAGACATACACAGACATAGAGACACACACAGATCCAATGCATACACCGCACCACAGACACAGACACAGACACAAACACAGACAGACAGACAGACAGACACGCACACACAAACACACACACACACACACACACACACACACACACACACACACACACACACACACACACACACACACACACACCCTGTGTGAGGAAGAGGGCGAGCGTGCGCAAGAGCCTACGGACTGGCTCCGAGTCCTCACCGACAATGACCGAGCGGCCGGCAGTCTGAAGATGACACGTGATGCAGATGTCAAGAAAGGGGCGTGGGAGATGGAAGGTGGCCCCGTCAATGGACTCGCTCAGGTCCAGGGCCGTGTCTGCGAACGGCGAGGGCTGCGGCGCATCCGCTTGGCCCAGCGCTCGCTGCTGGCCCAGGTGGTTAACGGCGATCATAAAGGGGCCAATGTCATCCGTAAACCTGAGCAGCACCTGCGTTGTCGTGGTGCCCTCCTTTCGGTGCTTGAGTTGCGCCACGAACTTCTTCACCAGCGTCGCCATGCGGTCCCGGCACACGCCAAACAGCTTCAGATATCGCGACACCTCCGTTGGCGGCAGCTCCTTGACCAACGACAAGGCGCAAGGGCACGTGGCCCCGTCCACGTCAGCCAGGAACACAAACGTGCCAAGTTCAAAGCCCTCAGCAGGCAGGCGGTAGTAGCGGCTCGCGCAGGAGCCGTCCGCCTCCATGTTCCGCGTGAGCTCGCCGCCCGTCGTCAGCCTGGGCAGGACCTTCAGCAGCTTCTCGTGGAAGTTGGGATTGGGCAGGTTGCTGCCGAGCCAGAGGTGCCTGCAGCGTGGGCCAAGCAGGTCTGTCCAGACGCACAGCACCACTGCATCAAAGAACGTGCGCTCGCACACGCGGATCATGCTTGGTCGCATTGCCATCCGCATCGCCATGAGCGCCGCCTTCCCCTTGGCCTTGGGCTCTGTGCCGTCCACCACCTCTGTGTCGCCTTCGCCTTTCCACAGCGCATACAGCTGCCAATCTGGGTATGGCGGCTTGCGCAGCTCCTCGTACCGCTCGCTGTCCTGCCGTTGCCGTTGTGGCTGGTGCTGTGGCGGCGGTGGGCGGAGTGGCTGCTGCCGTTTGTTGTCATCATGCTTGCCACCACGACGCCCATAATGTCCAGTGCCATCGCCGTAGCCGCCGTCGTCGTCATCAACCTCCTCCTCCTCCTCCTCCTCGTCATCCACAATCGCCACAACGTCTCCCGTCCCCGCACCTTGCCATACCTCCTCCTTATCACCACCCTCATTCCTTTGGCCTGCCTTCCTCTTCCTGTCATCATCGTCATCCCCATCTCCTCCACCTCCACCACCACCCAAGTCCATCGTGTGTCCGCTTGTTTGTTTGTTTGCGTTTGTGTGAGCGAAAAGAAAGGTGTGTTGCTTGCTTGCTTCTTTTGCTTGCTTGGCTTAGTGCTCTGTCGCTTGTGCTCCCACCCTTCCCTCTTCTTCGTCACGCGCTGTGTTGGTTCGTGTATGGCCAGTCAGTCAAACTAACACCATCAAGGAGTCAATCAGCAGCACACACGCACAAGAACGCGCCTTTGGTCTGCAATGCACACACACACACACACACGATGTGACAAACTCTCCTCGACGCACTACAAAGTCCCCCTCGGATATGCACACACACAGGCGCGCGCGCGCACACACACACACACCTCCCTGTTCTCCCTCGTCACACACACGAGAATGTATGATCCAATTGCCAGCAACGGGCAGGAATTGGCCCCTGCGCTCAACCCACCCATCACTGCTATCTCTTACTCGGCTTTTCGCCTTCCCTCTGCTTGGCGTCGCCCACTGCTGCCGCACGCTTGCTCGCCTGCTGTCCTTTTCCTTGGCGCTTCGTCGCAGTCACGCTCGCCTCTTCTTCGTCGGCCTTGGCTTCCTCCGCCTTGCGTACCTCCTCCACAACAGCACGCAGCGCTGCCATGGACGTGTGCCACTCCCTCACCGCACGTGCAAGGTCGCCAAGCCCGGCAATCGTCTGCATGATGCCTGCCGCCTGCTCGCCGCTACCGTGCCCCTCCCCACCCAGTTGGCGTGCTTCCACCATGAGCACACGCCAGTCATCGCTCGCGTGCAGCCGGTGGCTGTTGAGTGACAGCAAATGCGTCAGCGACAAGGCCTGCTCGTGAGACAACGTCACATCACCACGTCCACTCCCAAGCACGGGCGGTGATGCCCGGTCGCGGTGGGGCGACACTCCGCTCACCGACAAGCTGCCCACGGACGAAGGCGGCGACACGCTCGACTGGCCATGCGTGATGTGCCCACCAGATGCTGCCCCAAAGTTGACGGGGCTTGGGCCGTGTGATGACGACCCTCCACTACCTTTGCCGTGGTGGTGGTGGTGGTGCTGATGGGGGTGATTGTGGTGGTGGATCGGCTTTCGACCACCGGCCCCGCTGCCTGCACGCTGTTGCGATGCTGTTGCTGTTGCAGCCGTTGGTTGCGGGAGATGCAGTGACGACAGCGACGACATTGCACTTCGGCTTCCGCTCGTCGATGCGCCTGTGGCGCTGTTACTTGCAGCCGAGTTGGTAGTTGTGGTGGTGTTGGTGGTGGTGGCAGCTGCTGCTGCGTCTGCGTTGCTTTGGGCGAGGGTCGCCTTGAAGAAGGACAAGAGCGACGTCGTGGAGTTCTTTACAAAGGCGATGCTGTTGTCATACTGTGCGTGCAGTAGCATACACGTGAGACACTTGATGACTGGCTGCAGAGCCTCAACCTTCAACTTCTGGCACTGGTGCAGTGCGAAGCGCAGGTACGCATGTGTGGTTCTGAACAGCTGATCCTTGGCCCGAAACGGTTGCTGTCAAACATGCACATGTGTGTGCGTGTGTGTGAATGTGTGCGTGTGTGCGTGTGTGAGTGTGTGAGTGCGTGAGCAAGCGAGCGAGCGAGAGAGAGAGTGTGTGTGTGTGCGTGTGTGTGTTTGTTCGTGTGTGAGGGATTGTATTTATGTACGTCAATGCAAAGGAAGATGGGAGGGTTGGATATACGTGTGCAATAACACTACAACCCATCAAAAGAACCACTGTCAACGTGCAAAGCGGCATTCACATCATTTCAAGTCCTACTCACCGTCATAGCCTTTGCGCGCACCGCCCACACAAAGTCGATGCTCGCCAGACACGTGTACACGCAGCCGAGCTTGGGCTGTGTTGCAAAGCGCTCCTGTGCTGTGTGCTTTTCTGTTTTCCCGCGCTGAGTCAGCATCTCCCGCGTCAGTGCAAGCTCTGCAATGAACATGGTTGCAAACACCGTGTGAGCAGCACGAACACAGAACCCGCCAAAAAGCACAAGAATACAGCTTTTGTTGCACAAATACACACGCACACACACATGAACACACACACACACACACAACACACACACGCACACGAGAATACGCACAAGAACACGCACGCACGCAAGAGCTGACCTTGTTCATCCTGGGTCTTGGCGCGCTTAGGAGCACTGCTGTCGCCGGCACTGCTTGCATCGTCTTTCGCGCTCACGCTGTCATCATCCACCTGCCGCTTTTGTGAACGTGACGATTTCTGCGGTGACACATGCGCACTGGAACGACCACTGCCCCAACTCTCCTCTCCACCACGTTTCACCCTGCTGCTTCTACTGCTGCGGTTTCTGGCAGTGGCGGCGGCGGCAATTGTGGTGTCGCGTGTGCGACTGCCACCTCGCTCGTCACGGCGTGAGCGCCCGTGCGGCGTTGTCCGCCGGTCTCTGCTCGCTGCATCACTGCCATCACCGTTACTGCGACCACGATCACGACCACGACCGCCATTACCATCACCATCACCATCACGACCACGCACTCCGTCGCGGGGTTGGCTGCCACCACGGCGCCGACTGGTGGTACTGCTGCTGGTGGCGCCAGGTGCATGCGAGGATGCAGATGGTGAAGGGGACGGCGCTCGTGTGTGGCCACTGCGACGCAATGGCGAGTGGCCGCGTCTGCTCCGTTCCTCGTCATCGCGCGGCCCTCGACTTGGCGACGCCCGACGCTGGCGGCCGTCACGATCACGATCACGATCACGATCACGATCACGATCACGATCACGATCACGATCACGATCACGATCACGGTCACGGTCACGGTCACGGTCACGGTCACGGTCACGGTCACCACTGCGACCTCGCTCGCGCTCTTGTTTGCGCTCCCTGTCTCTGTCTCTGCCCCTGTCTCTGTCCCGCCTGAAGTCGTCGTCGCGGCGATCACGGGAGGAGTCGCGCCGCGGAAGGGGACTCCGGTGCCGGTCACCACGATCACCACGAGTGCTGCTGCGGGTGTGAGTGGTAGCGCGGTCATCCCGCTTTGTATCTGCGCGCGTGCGCGTGCGTGTGCGTGTTGTGTGCGTGGAAGGCGAGCGGCTGCGTGTACGTGTACGCGTGCGTGTGCGAGTAGCGACACCCCTGCTCTCGCCATCGTGACCAGACCTCCTGTGCTCGCGACCACGGTCCTGTGGTCTGTCTCCACTTCTGTCTGCATCTCTGCCACTTTTCCTCCTGTCCTGCTGCCTCGCCTTGTCGTCCCTGTCGCCGCTCCTGACCGCGTCCCGTTCAGCGTCCCGCGCCCTCCCACCCCTGGTGCTTCCCCTGTCGCCTCCGCCCCTCTGATCACGCCGCGAAGTTGGCAACGACGACGCGGATGACGGCGATGGTGGCGGGCGCACACCCCTTTCGTCAAATGGCGGTGATGGTACAGATGCGTCGGAATTGCCCTCTGCCCTCTCGCCTTTTGTGTCGCCGCGCGCGCCTTTATCCACGGCATCTCCGCCCCTCTCCGCACTGCGCCTGCGCCCACTGTGCCTTGGGTCCTGTGCAGGTGCACTGGCTTCGTGCCCACGCGCACGAGCGCCATCACCGCCAGTGTCCTCGTCATCATCACCAGCAGCGCGACTGCTGCTGCTGCTGCTCTTGCTCACAGAGGCGATGTTGGTGATCGTCTCTGCGGCAGACACTTCACCGCTCTCTACAGGTTTCAACCCCTGTTCTGTCGGTGCTGGTGTCGGTGCTGGTGGTGGTGCTAGTACTGCTGGTGCTGGTGTTGTTGCTGCTGTGTTCACAGGTGGTGTTGCCTCCTCGTGATCAGCGGATGCTGTTGCCTCAACCGCTGCGCGCCCATGGCCGCTCGCCCCAGGCGATGACTTTCCTTGAACAAACTCTTCAACCTCATCACTATCATCCCCATCGCCCTCACCGCGAGCACCGCGAACACCATCAGCACGGTTGCTGCTGCCACTGCTGTCAGCGCCAGAAGCACGTGTGTGTTCTTGCTGTTGCGTTTCGGTGTCTGCTGCCTCCACCTTCGCTCGCTTCGCGTCACTGTCCTTCGCATCGTTATCATCGCGAGTACCAGCATGGCTGGCTCGCTGCTGCTGCTGTTGCTGTTGTTGTTGCGTTGCGTTGTGGACGAGTTCTTGATTGCCGTCAGCATCTGCAGCACTTGTTGTGTTCTCGTTCACCGTTGCTGTTTCTTTCTTTGGTGTTGGTGTTGCTGTCGGTGCTGTTGCCGCTGGTGCGGAGCAACTTGTGGCACCGTCCGTGTTCCCATTGTCATCTTGTTGACTCGACTGCTGATGATCCACGCGTGTGTCGTCCCCATCAGCACGGCTTGCATCGCCACCACCATCACCATTACCGCTGGCAGCCACTGCAGGCTCCAGACCAGCGGTGGTTGCGGTGTCTGGCTTGCTATCCGCCACATTGTTAGCACCGTTAGCGCCGTTCGCACCACCGCCCACACCGACAGGTGCCGTGGCAACGTCCGTGTGGTGTGCATTGATCCCATTCATCTCCATCTTCGTTGCTGACTGTTCCTCCTGCTGCTGTTGTGGTTGCTGTTGTTGCTGCTGTGCTGCTACCGTTACACTTCTGCCATCCTCCGGTCGGTATGGAGATGCTATTGGAGAATGCAGCCTGGTGTGGAGACAAGAGGGAGAGAGGGTGTGTGTGTGTGATGTGTGCATGTGTGTGTGTGTGTGATGTGTGCATGTGTGTGTGATGTGTGCATGTGTGTGTGAGTGTGAGTGTGCGTGTGTGTGTGTGTGAGTAGGTGTGTGTGTGTGAGTGTGTGTGACAAGCCAACAAGCGAAAGGATGTACATGCAGGCGTGAATACAACGCCAGTACAAGGGATCATGTGCGATGCACACATACACAATGCAAGTTACACCGACACACACACACACACACACACACCGCGAACATGCAAAACCACAAGCAAACCAAGAACAAACCACAGCAAGCGGGAGAACGTACTTTGCGTGACTGAAGTGACTGAGGATGGAGTCAACAGAAGGGCTCTGCTGAGATGAGCGCTCGACCCGCGTCTGTCACACACACGCACGCACACATGCACAAACACATGATCAGCAACCGACGGTGTGATGGGTTTATGGGGGGTGGCGCGGAGTGTTTCGAATGGCGTGAGGATGGGGTGGCGTGAGCGTGAGGATGGGGTGGCGTGAGCGTGAGGTGGTGTGGCGGGATTGTGGCTTGGAGTTGATGAGTGGATTTCACAGGGGCTCGCCACAGGGAATGTACGCAAGGCAAAACGCAGCAGACAATAGGAAGGAAGGACAAAGGGTCATGGGAGTACATGTAAATTCACAGCAGCAGAGCGCCATCACGTACCATGCTGCCGACGGCTGGTGCTCTGCGCAGGACAGCAATCGGTTTGTATGTGGTCATGGGTAACGCCTCCACCGCTTTGATGAGCTGGTGGGTGGTGGGGGCCGGCTTGCCAAACAGATGCGCAACAGCGCGCTCCCACGCGTGTATAGACGCCTGCGCAACAGATCGGATGGGAGGGGGGGGAGGTCGAGGTGACGGCGGTGGCGGTGGTGATGACCGTTGATGATTGAGAGGGGGGGGGGGTGTTGGTGAGCAGAAGATCCGAGTGCACGGCGGCGAAAAAATGGCATGCAACAGGTATATTCACACACACACACACACACACACACACACACACACACACACACACACACACACACACACACACACACACACACACACACACACACACACACACACACACACACACACACACACACACACCACACAC